GCCTATTAATGCGGTCTAATAAGGCGAAGATGTTGGCAATTTGGGCGAACGGGTCGTCCTTGTTTTCGGCGAAAACCGACGGTGTCGAGTGCACCTGCGGCGTCGGCGCCGTTTGATAGGCGGGCTGCGATAGAGTGATTGGTCGTGAGGCGACCGGGGGCGCAACTACCTGCGCGGCCACCTGCGGTTTCGCCCAGGGGTTTACGACGGGTACGGGCGCGGGAACGTATTTCACGGGCGCGGGTTTGGGCAAAGTAGTAGCTTTTTCGCGGGAGTTTTTGGGGCCTTAGCGCAGCCCCTGTAGCTAGCCGGGTGGCCGGTGGTATGACAATTAACGCAGTCCGGTGGATCTGCGCAATCTTTTGGCCGCGTACAATCGGGCGTGCCGTGGTGCATTTGACGCACCTAGGGTGAGCGAAACAATTATTAGCCGTGTGGCCATAGTGTTGGCAGTTGTGGCACTGCGCCACAACTCCCGATCTTCGCGGGGGCTCGATCACGAGGTCGCTGAGCCCACAGACCCTCTTCAGGTTGAAGATGGCCTTACCTTCCGGGGTAGGGTCAAGTTCAACCATCACCATGTCCATACGGACACGGGTTCTGGGGTGTCTGAGGCGTCGGACGGCATGCACAGGGTATCCCTGAGTGCGGATGTCGGTTTTCGCCTTGTCGACATCCGACTCTTTGGGGACGCCCTTGATAACTACTACACCCGCTTGCCATTGTTGTTGCCGAGAATTTCCTTATTAATTACTAACACTTTTCTTTGCTTTAGCCATTCATCTCTAGCTTGCTTGGTTCGTAGGGTTACAACTATAGGTCTCGGCCTACCCTCTTCTTTCTTTTCTCGACCTACCCTCTTTGCGTCCTCTATATTACCAGTGTTTAAATTTAATTTCTGTGCAACAATTTCAACAATTTTCTTTGTATCTTCCTTCTCTGACTCATCCAGGCACGCTATTTCAATATTTTTCTCCACTTCTTTGTTCCAAAAACATTATCCTCTCTTCTAAGGAGTCGTTGCACTTTTGTAAATACTTATTTATATTTTCCAAAGCATTCATTTTCTTCTCCGCGGCTTCCTTAAAGATAAGCATCATTTGATACTGTTCAGCGTAGAAATCCACGGCCTCTACCCTATCCTGGCGTCCAGGCTACCTATTAAGACCAAGATCGGCGTTTACAAAACGTACGTCCGTTCGCGCTTGACCTACGCCGCTCCGGCGTGGTACGGTTTGGTCTCCGCCTCGCAAAGGCGCAGACTCCAGGCGCAGCAGAACCTCGCCCTTCGAGTGATCGTGGGGGCCGGGCGTTACGTCAGGAACGACGTAATAGCTCGAGACCTGAGGATGGAATCCATCGAGGAGTTTGTGGTCCGGACGGCCCGTCGCATGTACGACAGGGCCGACAACGGGCCACATCCACACCTGCAGAACATCGAACCCCTCCACGCCCGTCCTCCTGACGGGCGCCCGCTCCCACGAGAGCTACTGCGGTCGGAGGCCACTGGGGAGCCGGACCCGACCGCACTTCCGCCGTTGAGAAGACGATGTCGTCCACGCGTTACACACCACATGTAACGCTGTACACCCGCCAGTGCCGCTACCGCGGTCAGACTTAAGGATGGCCGTTGGTCATCCTTACCACCGACCAGCCTTCGCTGGTCGAGATTACGTCCGAGGCATGGGGGTTGCCCCGAAACTCAATAAAAGCAGGCCTCGCGCGCCAGCTTCGTACATCATCATCACCACGGCCTCTGTTAGGTCATCAATTTTCTTTTGTGTTTGATAAATTATTTCCAGTTTTTTAATGACCACAGCTAGAAGCGTTTCGGCACTAGCTTTCCCGATATCTACATTAATTTTAGGTACTTGCGTTTTAGGGCTGATTTCACTTTTGAGACATGATTCACACAGCTGGGTTCTTTGGAACTCCTTTACGTTCGATAAGCATGTTTTGTGATACACAGAGTCACATGAACCTTTACACTTAATAACATCATATTTTGCTAAAGAAACAAATAACTTGCACTTTCTACACTGAACCATTTTACTTGGTACTACTTACGAAATACAGAAACAATAATGAGCAACACGTCCGTACGCCGAGTGCGCGCGCGCGGATGAATTTTGAATTTCGCCAGGTAAACAGAAAATTCTTAAAATGTAATTAAGGAAATTAACTTTCTCGGTGACAAATTCATTAAAGGAAATTCTCATAAACATATTTCCCTAATATCCTATCCGGTATTTCACTATATAGTATAAAACAAAGTCGTCCCGCTGTATGTCTGTCCCTATGTATGCTTAGATCTTTAAATCTACGCAACAGATCTTGATGCGGTTTGTTTACTAGATAGAGTGATTGAAGAGGAAGGTTTATATGTATAATACATTAAACCCGTGTGAACTCGGGGTGGGTCGCTTGTATTTATTTTAAGTGAAAAGTTGCCAAGCGAACAGGTGGTCCACCTGATGTTAAGTGAATAACACCGCCCATGGACATCTGCTACACCCGCGGGTTTGCAGATGCGATGACAACCTTTTGAAAATTGGGCTCCGGCTACCTCACTCACCAGACGATATATGTAGAAAAAGTACGAAAAGATTGTCGCCGCTGTGGTATTATATTTAACTATAATACCAAGTTGTGTTTTCTACAACAATCTTAAGTGCAGAGATCTAAAATTTAAAAAAATTTAATTTCTAAAAAAACAACAGCAACATCTCTCGTTCGAATTATCGTTGTAAAACGATATTCGAAATTGTTTGTATGCTGGAAAGGATATAAATAACTAGGGATGCTGCAAATGCTAAAAAAAACAATGTAGATAAAAGACGTTAAGATTTTTGTCGGTGAGGCAATCAGCATTTAGCTTACTGGTTAAAGAGTCAGGCCGCGAATGCCGAAGACAAGGGGTCGATTCCCACAGCGGCGAAAATCTTTTCGTACTTTTTGTACAAATATTAATGTTCAATCTTAAGTACAGAGATTAGCACTATAAAAAATTTAAATTTATATAAACCTATCTGGTATAATATACCCACCTAAGCAAAATGCTGAATACTAACAGAGCCTGCACGTAGGCATTATATTAATGTTATCTTGCTACTCAGACTGGGAAATGGTGCTTGCTATCAACCCGATACTACTTCTAGTAGCTTAGCTTAATTAGCTTCTGTAGCTAAGTTGTTCGCAATCTTTTATCTAACGAAAACAGGAAATTTAATGTCCATTTGCAATATTTTTAATGCATAGGAGTTTTAAGAATAGGTGTGATGTAGTTATAATGCATAAAAATGCATTTTTCTATTTAATTTCATAAGAATAAATAACAGGCCGCGAATGCCGAAGTCGTGAGTTCGATTCCCACAGCGGCGACAATCCTTTCGTACTTTTTCTACAAATTTTAATTATTGTTATTTATGTAAATACAAAAATTCTCTTGAATACATTAGACATCATATTGAAAAAAAAAATATAAAACATATTTTCCCAAAGCAGCAAAAGCAATAAAAAATCATGAATCTTCAGTTTTCATCAGTGTGAAAATAACTATACATTTTAGTTTCACCAAAAGCTTTTTAGCTTAACCAAAAAAGCTAACAAAGAAATAAATATTGTTTTATTTAATTGAATATAATGTTCAATGCAACATTTTTTTCTGGCCGTGAGTGTAATATCTTTTATTGAACTTGTTTACTAATTCTTATTTTGAATTTCATTTTTACATATTAAGCCACAAAAAAAACTTCAGTAACTGTTATACTTTATTGTCAAAATGCAAAAGCTAATAAATATTGAAATTCATAAGGAGCATTTAGGTTAATTTTAATTATTACATCTATATATCGATATAAGATCAAGTAAGTCTTAGTATAATTCTAGAATAGCGATACTAGCCATTTTCACTTATAAATATTTTTTCCAAAGTATGTAGAAATATAAATATAATTAAAATCTAAATGTCATCAAACCTTTGAGGCTAAAAGGCAATTTACACTATTTGTATTTTGTGACCACTGTAACCTAAAAGATCTATTGCAGTCAATAACAAACACTAAGAAAATTCCTGACTTTATTGATTTCAATACAAAAATATACACACTCTTTACTTAATTCCAACATGCTTATCTCACATTTTTAGCATATTAGCAAATTGATATGTAGCTTTACCTACCAAGCTTCATATCAATATTTGAAGTAACTTTTTAATCTTAGGTTCGTAACATTTATTGATATAAATTTATATTTTAGATTAGATTCTTGGTTCACTTGACCAGAGTTATTTTTATGTAAAATTATTTTTTTTTAATATTTGGTAGCCAGTTTTGTCTAAGTGAACATGGCATAACAGGGCTGTTTAAGTTATTAAAAATTGCAATAAAGTAAGCAATGAACCTATTCTTTCTTAATAACCTATTCTTTCATATTAATATTTAAAGTACCTTTTTAATCTTGGTTCACTTGACCAGAGTTATTGTTATGTAAAATTATTATTTTTTTAATATTTGGTAGCCAGTTTTGTCTAAGTGAACATGGCAATATTAAAAAACACATGGTGTTATTAACATGGAGTCATGAATATGGAGTTATTAAAAATTGCAATAAACTAAGCAATGAACCTATTATTTCTTAATATACAGTCTTAATTTAACAATTGACCTCCTTTCAAATTTTAAAAAAGGCAAAAACATTGGTTATTCTTTCATTATTTGGAATTGTTGAAAAAGCAAGGTAGTCAAGTAGAAATAAGTGTATACTGTGATTTATGTTCTAAAATTACCATGTATCCACCTACAAAACTGTGACTTAAATGTATAAACTTCACATTAGTTATATTTTAATGGCATGTTAAATTTTTAAATGTATTTTTTATTTTCGAAATCATGAGTTTGCAAATCATTCTTGTATTTAAAAATATGCAGGTGGAAAATGAGGGAATCACTATTCTAGAATTTGCCTATTTTGTTAATATTTAAACAATAGGTATCCTATTAAAGCTGGAAATCATCATCATCAGAATCAAGAGCAGCTCTTCGGCGATCAAATTTGACAGTACTGGAAGTCTTCGGCATTTGTTGGTTTACAGATTCTAGTATGTCAATTAATTCTTTTTCAGATATTTTAGTGCGAACCTGCCCTGTTTGTGCCATTCTGCAAATCATATTTTCGACCATAGCCCCTTTTTCTGGTTTTCCCAGTTTTATTGTATTCACTGAAAATGTAAAAAAATGATTTATTGAAGTGCAAGTGTGTCTGTGACTTAAAATTATGACAATATAATTTTACATCTGGCTCTGGCGTCTTGACTTAATACTTGGGCTAAAATTGAATGTTTGGCTTCTTCCATAGCCTTCATTTTTTCTTCTTGAGCTCGAACATTGCTAGGATCACCAGTCCCCTGAAGAAGAATTGCAAGATTATAATCAATAATTTATTAATTTTGCTTTAATCGTAATATGTACTACATAACCTAGCAACTTCTTGGAAAATTTACCCCATGTTGTGACTGCAGCTGAGCAAGACGCTGCTGCCTAATCTTGTCAAGTTCAGGGTCATCCATTTTAAAATCAAAACTTATTCACGATGCTCGAATAAAATGTTTGAATATGCGTATATGCTACAACTACACATTCATTGACTTGCCACTGACAGTGGTATAGACTATATCACAATTTACAAAATTCAAGTGACACAATATTTTTTGAAAAATAGTTTTTTGTAATAGTGTAGTTTGCTATTAGCACATTCGAAAGCTTCGTCGGAAGAGGTCCGTCGTCCGTGTGTAAATGAAGCGACCCGTGGACTCACGAGAACAAATTAGCAGGTGCAGTTCTGCGGTGCATGATGATGACACGCATGATGATGCTTCCGCTTCACTGTAGTTATCTCCGTGATCCTGTTAATGAAAGATGACCAATTCAATTAACTAAGCAGGGGGGGGAGATGTGATTTAATCATATTGAAAGATAACGATCGGTTAAGACAGAAAAAAGACAGAAGTTTGACCACCGACTGGAATCGGCCGCATAGTGGCCTCGTGAAATGAACGGTGGGACTACGCTCTATGTTCTGTTAAACCTTACCACAAACCTTTTTGGAAGGTTCCTAAATTCCTCATGGGTACCATGCCCCCATTATCTCAATACCACCCCTTACTCATCCGATAAGAAAGCCATCAATGCTGGATGAAGAGAAGACCGAATGCCTAGCTGACAGCCTCGAGTCTCAATACTCTTCTAGGTGAATGAAAAGGTTGAAATGAAAGCAAAAGAGGCACTCTGTGATCCCATTATCCTGGTCACTTGCAGCGAAGTAGAGCAATTAATTAAAAACCTCCGCCCGCGCAAAGCGCCTGGATCAGATGGTAGTTTCGTTATCTCATTATTGATTGTAATAAGAGAACGAACCTCCGCCCTGCTAATATCATTCAGATACCAGTAATCATGTACAACGCGGCAATGATCGGAGGCTTCTTCCCGTCCGAATGAAAGGAAGCAGAAATCATAGGGTTCCTTAAGCCCTCGAAACCCACCACTCTTCCAACTTCATATATCCCAATTAGTCGTCTCAAAATGTGGGAAGATATTTGAAGGATTAAGGAAGAAAGATGGGAGAGACTGACAAGAAAGTGATCCGTAAAAAAAGGACGAATGTTGTAAACTTGAATTTCAATCTTCAATCTGATGTCTAGCAGTTATTTGAAAGTAGGCGGAAAATCAAAATTATGAAATCTAGAAATGTCAACCCAACCCACAAATTTGAACCGAGCCTTCTCCAACTCTTTCTTATTATTCTGACCAGTCTGTGGACAATAACGAGTGATACCTGAGAAATATGTAAGTGCTTGAGATATGAAGTGCCTCGCGCAGTAAAACACACGTCCGTTCTTTACTCGCTTTATTTGAAGACTGCCGGTACAATAAAGCTTATGTCTACATACGTTACACCTCCACCCTTATTTACTTATACCGTACAGTTTAACAGAATAAAATTCTCAACTAATAAAAAACTATTTTGCTGTTATTATCTTAATAACATAATCTTAAATTTCATTTACAATGTTGCTAGCATGTTGTATAATTCTAACTTATAATTACATCGATATAAAATCTATTCTCTATCCTCAAAACTGAAAAATATGTAAGTGCTTGAGATATGAAGTGCCTCGCGCAGTAAAACGCACGTCCGTTTACTCGCTTTATTTGGAGACTGCCGGTACAATAAAACTTATGTCTACATAATATGTTACACCTCCACCCTTATTTACTGTACAATTTAACAGAAAAACATTCTCAAATAATAATAAACTATTTTGCTGCTATTATCTTAGAAATATAATCTTAAATTACATTTACATTGTTGCTATCATCTTATATAATTCTAATTTACTATATTTAATTCCACCATTAACTGTATATAATTCTAACTTATAATTACATCGATATAAATCTATTTCTTCAAAACCATATCTACGAACTGGTTTTAATACTCGTCTGGGACGATTCACCGATGGCACAGGGCTTTCACCACCAGAATTTTCTACTTTAACTCCGAGCTGTGTCTTACCTACTGTCCCCTCCACAGGCCCAGTTTCCTGCGAGCTAATCTCGGGTAAACTTGACCCCGTGTCCATGTTGTTAAGTTCCACTTCCCTTACCGTTTCTCTCTCCGGAATCTCCATAGCGGATTTGATTTCAGGTGATGCAATAATTTCGTCTGTAGATGGTACCCCGCAACTGCTTCTTCTCTTTTTAATTTGGTTGATGTGTCTTTTCAAGAAGGGACCACCTTCCTTACTTACTATATAATTACGAGACCCAACTCTCGCTGTGATAGTGCCATCTAACCACTTTTACCCTGTGTAATTGCGAGCCCGCACGGGGTTACCTACTTGGAAGTGTCTCTCCGCCCCGCCTGCATTACGTACTTGTTTACATTGAGCCTTATTCATCCTAGCTTCTACCTGTCTATCTTCGCCTAATAGTTCTAACCTTGTTCTTAATTTTCTTCCCTGTAATAACATAGCTGGTGCCTCACCTGTAGAACTATGTTCTACATTTCTATACATCATAAGATATGTTTGCAATGCTTCATCTAAATCTATTCCGTCACGTATAGATTTTTTATAGCTGTTTTACAAAGTTTAACTGCATTTTCCGCTGCTCCATTAGAAGCAGGGTGATATATTGGTGTAAATGTTACTTTAACACCGTTATAATTCATAAATTCTCGATACTCTCTGCTTGAAAATGGTGGACCGTTATCTGAGACTACTTCCTTTGGCAAACCAAAGCGTGCAAAGGTAGTACGAAGCACCCTCACGACCGCGACCGCTGTAGTTCGTGGCATTAAAAATACTTCTAACCATTTACTTGTAGAATCTATGATTACTAAAAACATTTTGCCTTGCAATGGTCCCAAAAAATCTACATGTATGCGTGACCATGGCTCTGTACTATGAGGCCACGGCTGTGGCGGCGCCTTTGGGGGTGCTGATCCTTCCAGGCAACACGTGATACACGCCTGACAAGTCATTTCAATTTCGTGATCGATACCTGGCCACCACACAATACTGCGCGCTAGACTTTTCATATTTACTTTTCCTAAATGACCTACATGCAACTCTCGTAGTACCAGTCATCAATCCCCAAATCACGTATCCTCTGTCTAGGTACAGCTCATTGCGTCTTAAAGTGTAAGCTTTTAATTCGTTCTCCTTACAATCGTTAGGCCATCCCGTCTTTATAAAATTTATGACTTTAATTAAAATGTTATCTTTACAAGTACTTTCTCTTACGCTTTCCCTCGTAATTGGTAAAAAATGCTGAATGAAATTTAAATATGTACATTCCTCTTTCACTTGTGTTCCTATGACTACTTAGGCACATATTCTATTATATAGTCATAACCGGCTAAAATGATTGCCCAACGTTGCATCCTACTTGCTGCCATGACGGGTATGCCTGTTTTATCCCCAAAAATAGTGACTAATGGCTTATGATCCGTCCTTAATATAAATTTCCGTCCGTAAAGATATTGGTGAAATTATTGGTGTTAAATACTCGGGACGCGTAAGCCACCGGTCGCTCATCTCCTTCCGGACAGATATGTGAGATGACAGCGCCAATGCCTACATTACTCGCGTCAGTCGTTAGTACCAGAGGCAACTCAGCAGCATAGTGAGCTAGCACTTTGCTAGATACCAACAGATGCTTTACTTTATTAAATTCTTGTTCACATTCTGTATTCCAGTTATATCGGACATCTTTTTTTAACAATCTATATAAAGGCTCTAGAATACTACTTACATTTGGTACAAATTTGGCATAATACATTACTAACCCTAAAAAAGAACGTAATTCCATGATATTTGTAGGCCGAGGAGCCTTTGTAATTGCATCTACTTTTTCTGGGTATCTATGTACCCCTTGCTTACTAATCACAAAACGTAAGTATGTTACGTTATCCGCGAAAAACGTGCATTTCTCTTTCTTAATCCTCAAACCGTACTGCTGTACTCTCTCTAACACTTCATGTAATGTATTCAAATGCGTAGGCGTATCTACTCCAGTAACGATAATGTCATCTAAAAAGACGCCTACTCGCGGCATGTCAGCAAAGAGCTGTTTTCGTTGAAAGATACCTGGACTAGAGGCTAACCCATATAATAATCTGTTGTACATTAATAAACCTTTGTGTGTGTTTATCACGGTATATTTCTATGACTCGTCTAACACAAATTGTGCGTACGCTTGTGATAAATCTAATTTTGTGAATTTTTCTCCCCAGTGTAATTTTATAAGCAAGTCTTCTACCTTAGGCAAAGGATAGTGGTCCACTTCTAAACACTTATTCAATGTAATTTTAAAATCTGCACATACTCTTACGGTGCCATCTTTTTTCATCACCGGTACAATAGGTGTAGCCCAGTCCGACGCGGTGACCGGCGTAATGATTCCATCTCCCACCATCTGATCAAGCGCGTGCGCAACCGGCTCCAGCAGCGCGTAAGCGAGCGGTCGAGCGCGCAGGAATATGGGCCGTGCTCCTTCCCGCAGGCGAAATCCTACTTTCCCCCCGGTGAAACGTCCCGAGCCATCTTTGAATACTTCAGAGTACCTGGAACTGAATTCTCTTACATCAAAAACATTGTTCAAATTATTTATTTTAAGTACATTACATGTTGGTAACGGTATACCTAGTTCATTGAGCCAACATCTACCTATTAAATTAGTCTTTCCGCTTTTTATTACATACAAGTCTAATACTTTTTTTCTAGTTTTAAACTTTACGTTGACCTCCATCTTTCCCACAGGTATCACTGTTTCGCCTGTGTAGTATCGTAATTCTAAATCACTCGGCTTTAGTTTACAATGACCAAAGAAGTTTTTATAACAATCATAACTTATACATGAAATAGCACTGCCGGTGTCGATCTCCATGTTTAATAAACAACTCTCCACATAAACATTTACAGTGAATGGTCTAAGTTATTGTGATTGTGGTTTCTTTGTAGTTAAAGAATAATTATTATAATACTGTACCTCTTCATGATTATATATACCTTTATTATCTTCATGAATATTATCCAAGGATGTACCTTCTCGCAATTTGGGACACATCCTTATTAGATGTTCATCCTTGTTGCACACTCTACATACGTACATTTTGAATTTGCACTTATATTCTTCGTGAATGCCACCACACACGTTACATTAGTGATCCGTGTACGACTGATGTACGCCCGGTATTTACCGCTACTCGCTCCGCCTATGCCGCTTGGACCACCACCGCTGCCACCGTTTGGGAAGCGTGGCACTTGCGTTATGTTACGGCTCTTAAACATCTCTTTTTTGTTCCGTTTCATGAAATTGACTGTAGTGTCAACATTTGGTATGCTGTCACCCGCATTTCTGCCGCTGGTACAACCTTCTACCGATGCCGCATTTGTTACAGCCGCTTCCATTGATCACATGATCATTATAAATTTATCACGGAGATTCTCTGCTAAGTCTCGAAACCCGCAGTTTTTGTTCTTTTTTTTTTTTAACTCGGCTACATACACCGCCATAGATTCTTCCTTATGTTGAATACGTTGGCGACCTTTAAACCTTTCTGCCAGTGGCCTCGGTTTTGAGTTCAAATGATTCTTCGTCAACTCCACCAACTCAGTGTAAGTTTTCTTAGCCGGTTTTTCAGGTGTGCACAAATTCACCATTAGTTCATAAGCTTTACTATTTTCCCATACTGTCGCGGTCGTCACTTGGTTTGCAATAAAGTATTGTTCTAGTCGGTCAATATACGCCTCCCAGTTGTCCTTCTCAAGGTCAAACGTTCCTATTTTGCCGATTGCCATTTTGTACACTGACTGATTGTGCTATTGTTTGTTTCACGTTACAATCCACCATCAATTATACGCGCGAAATCTTTTTGTCCTCGTCGCCACTGAGAAATACGTAAGTGCTTGAGATATGAAGTGCCTCTCGCAGTAAAACACACTCCGTTCTTTACTCGCTTTATTTGGAGACTGACGGCACAATAAAGCTTATGTCTAGATACGTTACCAAATTTTCTCATGTAATACTCTGCAAAAGTGTAAATAAATGTGGGTAAATATATGTTTTAATGTTTTTTTAAATACAATACCCATACTGTAGGATAACATTACTCTGTGTTGTAAGGACATTTTACAACCAAAGATTTCACGTGGACAAACACCCAAATCAAAGACAATAATTATCTGTAGGACACACAATTAGTTGTGCCGTGTGGTATCGAACCCATAGCCCCGGCGCAGAAGCTAACACTTCGGCAACTGCACCACGAGTCATCCGAGGTTTCTGCAGAGGAGATACTTATATGCATGTTGGTGTCAGGGTGGATTTATCCGTTTTGTAAAAAAGTCCCAATATGTGTGTATGCTCAAACGTAAATGTTTGAAAAATTTATTCGGATGGTTTATAAGGATCGAGATGGAAATACTCATTACATTTGTGTAAGTTTATAAAAATAACGGAGATATTCTATTCTTCGTTACGTTGTTTTATTAGCAGCAGCGTAATTTAACCTTGTTCGTCGGAGTCCATTATCATATTTATGGAAGCATGAGTTAAAAAAGTAGCCGCAACCGACCCCAAGTGTCTGCCACCAACCACAATGGTATCGCTCGCGTCAGATACCATTGTGGCCGCTTCTTCTAGCTTCAGTTGACGGAGTCTTGTGGTTTGTGGTCGGTGGCCCGTGTGCAGCCAGGCTAAAAGTTGCCAGGCCAGTTGATAATACAAGCAACATTAACTCCTTATATAATCAGCATAACAAGCAAATGTTAATGTTCCTTCATCGGGTGAATTGGCGAGAGATTGGCGCGTCTCCTAACGGGAACACGTGCGTTTTGGTCTCTCGCCAAAGCTGGCTTGGGAAATTTCTGTAAGCCTTCTTTTCCACACCTGCACACAGAGGATGACTCGCTGGTCCATGCCGCGAAGGAGAAAGTCGATCTTCTGGGCTCTCTCTTCGCGTCCAACTCGACTTTGGATGACCGAGGAAAATTACCACCAACAATCCCGCGTTGCGATGCTACGATGCCGGAGGTTCAATTTCGGCAAAGTGCAGTTCGCAGAGCACTCTTTTCCTTGGCATCCCTCCGATCGTGTTGAAGACATGTGCTCCGAAGTTAGCACCGGTTCTGACGCGTCTTTTCCGGCTCTCCTATACTCTAGGCGTATTCCCGAAATCCTGGAAGGCCGCTTTAGTGCACCCGATCCCTAAGAAAGACAACAGCTCAGATCCGTCCAACTACAGGCCTATAATAATAATAATAATGCAGACCATCATTAACTGCCAGCTCCTGCGGTACCTAGAGGAGCACCAGCTGATTAGCGACCGCCAGTACGGCTTTTGTCGAGGTCGCTCAGCCGGTGATCTTCTAGTTTACCTGACACACAGATGGGCAGAAGCAGTTGAGAGCATGGGGGAGGCGCTTTGGTGGACGCTCCATGGAGTGACTAGGCTCAAGGGCCCCCGAGAGGGGATCTCAGCTTAGGCTGTTACTCAATACCCGTTTAGCATTCCGATCTCAATCGGTAGCAATTATCTGACTGGAAGAATTTCTAGGTCTAACACTACTACGACTTCGGAAAGCGTTGGCGCTGGGAGAAGAAGTGGCGGACGAAACTCCAGCGACGCTTCTACCATTAACGGGGGAAAACCATGGTGTGATCTGGTGTGTTTGCGTAATAGTTTTATCCTGTCGATGGCAATAGTCGTCTCATCGTCAGGGAAATCGAGGATGTGTCGTGGTCTGCGCCATTTGCGACGGAACGTACCTAGCGGTAAGGGTCTGTAGGTGACGGCCACTATGACTAACGCATTGGCCCCGAAAATGGCTTGCACTGTTCCTTTTATAGACCGTTGCAGTGTGCTACTACCCCCCAGTCAGATAATAGCTACCGATCGGGCGCTCTCGAATCGGAATGCTAAATGCGTGTTGAGTGACAGCCCAAGCCCAGGTCCCCTCTCGGGGACCCTTGAGCCTGATCACTCCATGGAGCGCCCGCAAAAAGTGCTACTACCCTTCAATCCAATAACATATTTCTGTTCATTTTCATTAAAATAGGTAAATTACCACTAAGTGGATAAAATGTACTCTACCTTATCTTTAAATTTTATAGCGATGAAGTAATTTCAAATCAATTAAAAAAAATGTAATGTTCAACCAGAGAACAAAAAAAATTACTATTATGAACATCCTATATTTCCGAGTCTATACGTTACAATTTGACACGAACGAAATTTCTGTTAGATGGAAAGGTTTTTTTTAAATTTACATTTTATTTATAATATCTGTATAGAATCAAAATGATGTGTAAGATAATTAGAATGTGTAATTCAAACTACGAAATATCAGTAGTCGAAAATGAAACAGAGATGACGAACGGATACATACATTTTATGTTCTTCGTTTATCGTTAAATTCTTAGTAATATTGCATTTTTCGATACGTTGTCATTGTTTTATGTACTAAATAATAAGAAAAGAAAAAATATTAACCCGTTTTCGATATTTGTTTCACAAAAAACAGTAATTGAAATATATAAATGTAAACATGGAGATATTCGAAATAGTTGTGAAAGAATAAATAGGTTTTGAATGAAAGAATAAATACTTTTAGTTATCAAAGTACGGTTCATTCATTCCTTCGCTAATTTCTCGATCGAGTTTCACGGGAAAATTAACTCTATCTAGTCAGCAAATAGCTCACTATTAATCGCAAACGATCTGGCGTAGATCTACGTTCCGACAGTCAACGGAAGCACAATTTGGCGCGCAGATCTACGTTCCGACAAACCAAAGGTTAAATGATAACACAATCTGGAAATGAAACGACTGACGAACGAATGACTTTGCAACAAAGAAGCAGAGAGCTCCTGTAGTAATGTAATTTTCATATCTGTTAATACTCATATCAGATAGAAGAGTTGGCAGTAAATACCCTTTCTGCCTAAAAGTGTAATGGTACTTTCGCATTTATCTCTCGTGCATCTTGAAGGTGCTAGTGATTCTTTCTTTTCTTTCTTCTCAATATATCTCTATATTAATACCACAATATTGACGTAATCCTTTCCATTATCTGTTCCTTCGGGTATTATTCATCAAAATATTTCTTTAGGTTGAATTCACCACCACCAAGAAAGCACCACCAGATCCGGTCTACATAGAGGCTGGTCTATGGCAGGACATCTGTCCGGGCCTACTATTGTAGTGTACTATAAAAAACAGCTGGATCCAAAACCTTAGGAAACATATAAAACTAAAATTGTAGGAAAAATTAGTTTATTAATTAATATTATCATGCCATTGCAGAGTTTGATAGTCGACGTTGCCATAATTATTACAATATGCCAATACCGCTATTTTGTTTACAGCAACAGACAATCGACCAAAGGATACTAAATTGATCGGTCGAAAACACATTATCGTATCATAAACACATCGCACCATGTACATTGCATGAAATCGTACGGGATCGCCTGTAAATAGAAAAATAAATTGTAAAGATTATGAAAACTTAAGAAAATAGGGATTAATTTCTTAAGTTCTCACATAGGCATGCGTCTAAAGAAAGATAAGCGAGCAGAAAACCGAACACATTGATTTTGAACACTAAAAAATCATTTGAGTATTCATAATTCATTGCCGTTTCATCGTAAGTCTCCAAACCCAGTAATAATTGCAAAGTAAATAAAAATTAAGGAAACATTTTCAATTTCTCCTACAATGATTACCATCCCCAAACTACAATGGTATTAAGAGTCAAACTAATGTTACCATAACCAGGGTCTTATGTTGCAAGGATTGATAGCACTGCTTTATACATTATAAGGTTATTAATTTCAGCTATAATATGTACCGATACATTTTTGAATATTTACGTAAACTGTTTTGCAACGTTTTCTTAAACAATTCAGAGAAGTAATTTAGAAATTCAGTAGGTGAAGGATATTGAAACATTTTATTCTCACTGAATGATTCACTCTATCTTTCTGCACTACTAAAAACAATATTAAAAAAAAAAACCATGAATGCATTACCTGGGTATAATAAATAGTCACACCCAAATTTCGATCCACACGTTATATAATGGCCCTTATACCATAGATCCTTAAAAATTTGGTAACGCGTACTACCTTTTTGATCCACGACACTAGGTTGTAAGATATCAATAGTTACCATCCTGGTCACTAAAAATAAAAAATACTTCCAGTAAATTCTAAAATTTATAAGCACCTTAGAAATAAGTAAAAGAAAGGTAGTGACTTGCAACACCATCAAATTGTAAATAATGTATCTCCAGTGAATCTGGGTGAAATGTGATCATCAATTCTTTCTAAATATCCCGTCAGGGTATTGTATGTTTTTGTAATATAATTATGTGAGAGTGCTTTACTCTATATGTGGGGATATACTCCAGTTTCGCTAGATAAAATCGTTGTTATACAAGCTAGCCTTTAAATCCATATTATTATCATATTTAAACAAATAGAGACATTAAATTATAAGATGATTTTTTTTCCAATTGACTGGCTTACAGATTACGTAACAAAAAAATTGTGATTGTAAAATGTGTGTACCGCCGTACGTTGGTTTCTGCTTCTATGGGTCCTTACGTTTAAGATAAATATAAGCAACTAGCGACCCATCCCGACTTCGCACGGGTGCAATTTATTAATAAATTGCACCCGTGCGAAGTATATCTTGTTAACAAACTCTCTCTGGGTTTAATATCTTGTTAACAAACTACTGTTAGAGCACAAGGGATCTGTGACAAAGAACAGCTGGCTGCTGAGCTACACAATGTCAAGCAAGTCCTGCGTGACAACAAGCTCCAAAACCCGCGCCTGCGTCACAGTGACCGAGTGAAACCAGCCACAGTTGAGCGTGTGCTTGCTGTATTACCATATGTAGGAGGAGTCACTGACAAGATTGGCTATATCTTGAAGCGTGCTTTAATTAAAACATATTTCAAGCCACCTAAGAAGATAAGTCAATTTTTACCATCCCTCTACACGACCCAGGAGTGTACAAACTTGACTGCGATTGTGAGCTCTCTTATATAGGACAAAACAAAAGATCAATTAAAACCAGAATTAAAGAACACATAGCTGACGTAAAGCACCGACTTTTGAAGAAGTCTGCAGTTTGTGATCATATTTTAGACCGCCCCAACCACTACATTAGATTTGATCAATCGAAAATCCTCGCAAAAGAACACCAATTCCTTCCAAGGATGATCCACGAGGCTATTGAAATAAAGAAACATCCTAATTTCAATAGAGAAGATGGTTGGAGTTTATCATCTGAAAAACGCGATAAAATCCGTAAATTAGTTTCATTTAATATGTATAATATTCGCGTAAAATCAAGAAAATAACCCCTATATTTGATGAGCTACTATTGTGATGTCTACGACATCCACCTCCCGGACCCACCAGAACCCCAACAGATTACCATTTTTTTCGAAATTTGGACAACTTCTTACAAGGAAAAAAATTCAAATCTGATGCGGCAGTCCAAACCGCCTTCAAAGCGTTTATCGATTCTCGCCCCCATGGTTTTTTTAGTAAAGGGATCAATGAACTACCTATGAGATGGTAAAAGTGCACAGATAACAACGATGCATACTTTGATTAATCAATACATTATAAATGCGAAGGTACATCTGTCTGTCTGTTTCGCTTTCACGCCAAAACAACTGAACCGATTTAATGAAATTTGGTACACAGATAGTCTAGAGCCTGAGTAAGTACATAGGCATTTTTATAATAGGAAAAAAACGTTTTAAAGGGTTGAAAGGTTAAAGAAGGATATTTATTTAAAGGCTTCTACGCGAGCGAAGCCGCGGGCGAAAAGCTACTTAAAAATATTTTACAAAAAAATTGATTCTATATTCCGCCCATACAAAACGCCAATTTCATATGTAAAGACCTAATACTTAAAAACTAAACGATGATAATGGTATAGAACACTTTGCGCGAATCCGACTCGCACTTGGCCGGTGTTTTTATTCTTAATCTTGGTCTGGAATAATAAAATCATTTTGGAAATGTACAACGATCAATTACGAACCTCGATGTAGCAGTATGATAGTACTGAAAGGCAATTTCAAACCGAATTTCTAAATTATAATGTAAGAATATTATAAGCCTTGCTACTTCAATATCGGGCCAGAAACAGGACAGGCGACTACTCCAATGAAATTGATTAAAGTATCTTATTGAAAAAACTTCAAAAGGTTTACTCCTTTTCTCTCTCTCTCTCTCTCTCTCTCTCTCTCTCTCTCTCTCTCTCTCTCTCACTCTCTTTCTTTTTCTCGGTGTATGTCTATCTTTAATCTACTCAATAAGAAAAAGAGCCATTGCAAAACGGTGTAATGAAAGGGTTAAAAAGAGACAGGAACTGGACCTTAAGGCTACTTGATGACTCAATTTCATTCTCGTCAGAGTTACTCTTGCCATAAGAAAACCATGATTTACAAATGGCATGCCCTTTTTGAGCAAGACAGAGAGTCAACTGAAGAGTCAACTTCGCCGCCGCAAAGAATAGACCGTAAGGCAGGCCTAAAAACGTTGGATCGATTGGGTGAAACATTTAAGGAGAATGGGAAAGTTCACAAATTGGGGAAGGACACCCAGGCTTCGAGAAAAATGGAGGGATATTGTAGAAGAGGCCAATATCCACAAAGGGCCAATGGAAGATCTCACACGATTGAAGCCACTTCCTCAGGCATCGTCGAAAAGAGGTTCTAAAAGAGGCTCGTTTGAAAAAGAAGAAATTAGCAAAAATGTTTGTAGTATCAACTACATTATTCCCACTAGTTTCAACATTCTCCATGATTTTCTTGCCATTTCAAAGGTCATAGCAAGATGGCTAATACCATTTCAACGGTGGTAGGGTCACGCAGCAGCCTTGGCTGTTGCACGAATGGGCAGGCTCGCCCAGGTAAGTAATACAACTTCACGGAAAACCGGCGTAAAGTGGAAGCATAATACTTTCGCGTTTCGTCTGCTGAGGTAGGCGGAGCCCAATTTTCAAAAGGTTGTCAACGCATCTGCAACCCTCGGGTGTAGCAGATGTCCATGGGCGGCGGTATTCACTTAACATCAGGTGAACCACTTGGCAACGTTTCACATAAAAAAATGAAAAAAGGGAAAGCGCGTCAGTTGCTGGCAAGAACTTTTGGAACTGTGTAGTGAAAACCGATATGAGATTTTGAACCAAATTGTTACTGGGGACTAAACGTAGATTCATAACTATGAGTCTGAGTAAACCAGGAGTCAGTGCAGTGACATCAAAGAGGCACGCCGCCGCCTAAGAAGTTAAAAGTGTCGTAATCATCCTCTAGCAAAGTTCAGTCAGGTTTTTTTGGGCTTATGGGGGTAATTTGTTAAATGATGACTAAGAAAAAGACCTCAACATCACCGGAAAAACTACGTCAGTTTAATTGGAAAAATTAAAAAATTCCATCAAGGAAAAAAAAGGGGAAAATGGACTCGAGGTGAGTTGTATTTGCCCTACAACGCGCGAGTTCACAATAGCCATGTTGCGATGGCTGCCCTTAACAAGTGTGGCTTCGAAATCTTGAACCACCCGGCTTATAGTCCAGATTTAGCCCCGTCAGATTTTTATTTCTTACCGAAAATGAAAAAAATACTTTGAGGACAAAATTAACTAATGATGAAAATATGGTCAATATCTCTGGATATATATAGACACCTACTGGTGGTAACACAGCCCTATGTCTAGTAACCTCAACCATCTCCAGCAAGTGAATTGAATCGAGGTGTTCGCAAGATGGCGTAACTCCAGGTAGTTTACTAAGCATCCATCAATTTTGGAGTCATTGAAGCACTTCTTATATCTTGTATTAACTGATGTTTTTGCTTTCAGTCCCGAGACTATTAAAGCTTCATCTGACGCAGAACCGGTGGGCTAGCCAGAACTCACGGGTCAATATTGAAGCACTAGTATGTCTTACAAACAGCGGTAAAGTTTTACATACCCCTATTTTCTTATTTTGGCCTAAAAACTAATATTACCTAATATATACTACTAATATAAACTAATATTACCTGTTTCTCTATAATGTCCAGTAGGTAGATGCACTAATGATTGTGATGGTACTAAGTTCGGAATTTTATTTATTTCCTCTTGTAGCAATGTTTGTTTGTCCAAATTAACATCTGAAACAGATAAAAAATATTAAGTAAAACATTATGGATTTACTTGACAATGTAAATACAATATCATAGGTGCTGTAGGTGTTCATGAATGAAAGGAATTGTTTAACATCAAAACTGCTTTTTTCTTTACTAATACCTTCTTTTTTTAAAAAAGAAGGTATACATTTAAACAAAAATATTGTAATAAAAAATTTACATTGCATTATTATTTAAGTATGTGAATCACTTTTTGTCAAGATTATATAACTAACCAATAAATAAATTAATACAAAAGGTTCTAATTATATTCTATAATTTTTATCATAAAATTTTCAGATATACATGGAAATCAACAGAACGTCCAATTATTTTCATTTATAGGCAATGAATAAATATTAACTAACCTGTGACTCCTTTCAGTAATAACTTTTGCTTCTTGCCTGCTAGAATAATATCAATTTTTTGTGATATTTGTTCAATCTTTTTCTTTTTAAACGCTTCGGCTTGCTGCTGTAGTATCCTTTAAGAATAATAAAATCAAATAATACTTAAAATTTAAACTCAACTTTGTGTAAAATGCAATATAAACAAGGTACTGATACACACTTTTGTTCAAGGCTTTTAATGAATTGCTTTTCTCCATCAGATGGTTCTTCATTAATATTTTCTGTGACACATAAATTACAAATGCCTAGTTCAACTAACAAAGCTGCTTCTTCAGACATTAATGCCATTGGTAAACCTAAAATAAATACTGAGATTTAAGGCATCTTTAATATCAAAGGCATACGCTAAGTATATGTCAAAAAAATCTGGCATATTTTAATGTCAATGTTATTAACAAATTATGGACAATATGTTAACCAGGGCTTTTTAAATATTCACAAACAATAATTTAAATCAGAGATTACTTACTCTCTGATTATACATACATGCTTATACATGTCCCACTGCTGGGCAAAGGTCATATCTACCTCTTATTTTTACATAAATATACGTATTTTGTTATTTTAACTCAATTGCATTTGACTCTGCATTATACTTTATTATTACTTGTTACATTCATACCTTGAAAATCATTTTGTCTGGGAAAAGACGGAATTGAACCAATAAGAGAACCACATATCCGATTTTTTGTGCGAAGCGAATGCCAATCTGAAATCACATTAAAAAGACGTTATTGCCGGGTTTATCTCTAATTTAAACTTAAAAAGTCTTCATACCATCAACATTCCAAACATACGCTACACCATTATCTACATACAAAGTTATCATATTTCAGACTGATTACAATTTCTTTAATATGTTTAGTCGATTTACACTGTTCTTTTATTTGTTAAAATATTATAGTAGATTTGTATAAACATTGTAGTAGGTAATGTGATAATGGTAAGTATTCTTCTTTTTTGGCAATGAGATTCTGATCTGATTCTATTGTGATATGTTAATATTGTAGTTTGAAGTCTTCGGATTTCTCCATACAAATATTTCATCAACAGTTATACGACCATGTCTTTCTTTTGTTGTGGTTTTTTCCATAAACCTAATTATCTCTCTTAGATAAAATCTTCTCTTAAATTATTTCTTATTGATATGGCGATTTGATATGTCAATGTCATACTCATATGATTTTTATTAATTCATGAACAAACATAGTAGTTATATTCTCTTTGCTCATGAACGACAGTAACATTAACAATCACTGACCACGGTCTTTTCAGTCCATAGATACAATTGACATTTTATATTTGTAATTGTATGGAGCTTGCTCATGCTCATTCCGTTTAGTTCCATACGTCAAAAACATTTGGCTAGAAATGGGCGATACAAATCGTATCAGATATGAAAACTATATTAGTACAATATCCGAAAATCGCTTACTGGCTCGTTCAAAATCTATGTATTTTATAATATCTGATATTTCCGAAATCTGATGTACCGAATACTCGCTCACTCGCTATACCGACACGAATCGCGATATCATATGGCACAATATCAGATTTTTAAATAGATATTATGAATAAGTTAAGTAATTTTGAATCTTAACACTATCTGAATAAGATCCGTTTCATTTAAATACTGATCATGGTATCAACGAGTACTACAACGATATTATTATATTTTTATTCTTTTGTTTAGCCTTGAGCCGTAACGGGCGACAAAGCGCGCAGTTAAAGCGCAAAGTTAAGTAATTTTGAATCTTAACAGCATGGAAAAAAACTCTGTTGCATTTAAATACAAATTACGGTATTAACGATGTCTTTAAATTTTGTTTAGCCTTGAGCTGGATTGCATTGGTACCTAGCACGTAATGGTAAGGGATGCCAACTTACTACTTAAGAATTTTCTGCCTAAATTAAGGAAGAAAAATATACAATGGAAATTTTTTATTAGTTAAATTTTATTCATATTTTTGGAAAAAAATAAAACTGCATAAAAAGAAAAATATAATTTAATAGTGCTGTGCTGCTTTGGTGGAAATCAGACCAAGGTTTATGTGCCTTGTGTGTATATTTTAAATTCATCCTCCTGAATGTATTATTTCTTACACAAATTATAAAAGTATTGTCACTCATGATTGCGTGCTCTAAAAATATGTTAAAGTCAATTATTAAGTGATATGTAAGATGTTAAAATAAATCATTTTTATATTACTTTAAATTCTATTTTTAATGAAATTTTTACTTTAATCAGGTAATTTTGTTTGGTAATGTTTTAATTTTACCTTAATAGTATAAAAAATCGTGATTTTAAATTCAGTAAGTTTTTTGAATTTAGTCAATTTTACTGGGTTTTCGAATTTATTTTGGAGTATTCTTTTTGAAGAGTTGGTATCACTGGTAATGGTAATAGTAATGGTAATTTCATTCATCTTATATTATCCACTCCGTTAATGGATACGGGACCGTAAAATATCTAGATATTAAAATACATAGTTTCGAAATCTGATTCAGATACGGTACTCAGAAAAAGCGACCCATCTCTACATTTGGCGTTGTTTCAGATGCAAAACCATTTTAACTATGGTACCATTAAATTAGAAACAAAATTTTATTTTAAGTTAAAATAAATTTATTAAAACATGTAGAAAAAGTGCGAAAAGATTGTCGCCGCTGTGGGAATCGAACCCACGTCTTCGGCATTCGCGGCCTGACGCTCTAGCCACTGAGCTAAACGGCTGATTACCACACCGACGAAAATCTTAACGGCTTCCTTCTACATTGTTTTCTTAGCATTTGAAGCAATGCTTGGCGCCATCTATTGTTATATCCTTTCCAGCATACCAACAACTTCGAATATCGTTTTACAACGATAATTCGAACGAGAGATGTCGCCATTGCTTTTTAAGAAATTTAAATTTTTATAGTGGTAATCTTTGCACTTAAGATTGAACATTAAAACATGTAGAAAAAGTACGAAAAGATTGTCGCCGCTGTGGGAATCGAACCCACGTCTTCGGCATTCGCGGCCTGACGCTCTAGCCACTGAGCTAAACGGCTGATTACCACACCGACGAAAATCTTAACGGCTTCCTTCTACATTGTTTTCTTAGCATTTGAAGCAATGCTTGGCGCCATCTATTGTTATATCCTTTCCAGCATACCAACAACTTCGAATATCGTTTTACAACGATAATTCGAACGAGAGATGTCGCCATTGCTTTTTAAGAAATTTAAATTTTTATAGTGCTAATCTTTGCACTTAAGATTGAACGTTAAAACATGTAGAAAAAGTGCGAAAAGATTGTCGCCGCTGTGGGAATCGAACCCACGTCTTCGGCATTCGCGGCCTGACGCTCTAGCCACTGAGCTAAACGGCTGATTACCACACCGACGAAAATTCGAATTATCGTTGTAAAACGATATTCGAAGTTGTTGGTATGCTGGAAAGGATATAACAATAGATGGCGCCAAGCATTGCTTCAAATGCTAAGAAAACAATGTAGAAGGAAGCCGTTAAGATTTTCGTCGGTGTGGTAATCAGCCGTTTAGCTCAGTGGCTAGAGCGTCAGGCCGCGAATGCCGAAGACGTTGGTTCGATTCCCACAGCGGCGACAATCTTTTCGCACTTTTTCTACATGTTTTAATGTTCAATCTTAAGTGCAAAGACTAGCACTATAAAAATTTAAATTTCTAAAATAAATTTATAAAAAAATATTTATGGCTTTTATTTTGGAGAAAATTGTATTTTATTAAAAAAAATATTAATTTGAAAGAAAACAACTAAGCAAAATGCCGGAAGTAGTTTTAAACAGTGTAACGGAACGTTACCGACGTAACTGCGGCCGATTTATTCAATTTATTCGGTTATCTTTCATTATTCAAAATTTTATTTTATTATAAGCTACGGCAAAACATTAATATTATATTCGCAGGTAAGGACTGCAACACAAATTTGTATTCTTTTCATCATCCTGAAAATCATAGTAACAGATTTAAACATGGATTCAATCGATGGAGGTTTACTGATTTTGGATAGTCAATAAATAATTTAACGTAAATAATTTTATAACCGCCACCAGACTCGAAATCATTCATAACAAAGATTATAAAAAAAATAGCGAGTGAATATTACAAAAAAAGAAATAAAGTTCGCAACACATATTTCTGTATTTTATTTACTTTATCCAAAAATAACATCTAGCAAGCTTGTATCCAATTACATTTTTCTATACAATGTTATCAAGTATAAATTAAATAAATTTCATTATCATCAATTTATTTCATAATTAACTTCAGGGTCATATACGTTTCACACTGATGGTTTAATAGTAATTAGTAATTAGTATTTTCATTGTATTGGCTTAAAGGCCTTGTTACCAGGCCATTTAATATTTATAAAAAAAAAGTATTATCGTGCACGCATTAACAAAAACACCAAACCAAAGTTGAAAATAGGTCGAAATTGACGCGAATTTGATAGTCAAAAATAAATATCGAATATATCGGGAATAAAAATATCGACGATATATATCGATATTTGTTTGTGAAAATATCCATATTTTTATATATCAATATTTTTTGACATGCCTAAATGTCACTGGCACTCAGGGGGGTGACAGTGCCATACTTTGAGCTGGTAAAAATTTTTTGTATGGAAAGTGGAGCTGTCTATTGTTCAGGGCGTTTTAACTTAGTCGCATAGAACCGCAAATCCTAACTAGATGTCGCTACTTTATCTTACACCATTTTTTAATAAAATTAATGATAAATGCACTGTATAAATACTTTCAAAAATACAAGTATATTTACTTACGAACATTACGGTTAAACGATTATATAATTTTATAAGCACTCGTTTACAAAATTATATGATAATTTCAAGATTTAATAACTGCAACACTGTAACACTGTTGTCAACCGTCGCCGTCGAAGTTTTTCAATTTTTTACTTTTATTTATCGCGTATTATTTTACTGGTGCGTGCATTTTCTGTCTTGATTTTGATATTTACATTTCCCTTTTTTCCTAATGATTTGGCGTGTTTTCTAGATCTTGATAATACTACTTTTACTGTGAACTTTCTATTTACTACGGACACTGATTCATAACGATAAACCCCGGCTTCGTTTAGTAGACATGACTAATTACGTTTTATTTTAAGACTACGTTTTGATGCTGTACTGATGGAGAAGACACAGAAAAACCCATACTCGAACTTTTATTTCGGGTGTGAAGATGGAGGTTAGTAATATTAACAATAGAATACAGTTTGTTTTATTACCATTTCCAACCTAATATGGTTACAGGATTGTCTGAAGTTTATAATGTACAACGAATAAAAATATTATTTTACTATAAAACGCAACAGCAAAATGCTTATGGTACAATATATTAAGTCTGCAATTGCGCATTAAAGAGTATATCTCCTGAAGATCTTCTAGTGTCAGTACTAGTGAAACATTACTTGTTGCTGAACAAATTAAAAATTCAGAATATATCTGCAGACAAGAGCAGTGACTTGGTCATACATAACAAACACAATCAGCCATCTAATTATAGATCTGAAAATAAATTATATTTGTCAGTTGTCAAATTGTCCAATGTCCAACAATAATAATTGTATCAGATAATATAGGGCAAGGTTTTGGTTCTTTATTATCCAAACATGTAAACAATGTATACAATTATCCAAACATGTATATAATATATGTTCACCAGGCGCCAGTTTCCATAACAATATAATTAAAATATTAATATTAAATGAGAATAGTACTATTGTACTTCTTCATAGGGATAGTTTATCTGTTAGCAAATAGGAAATTATTAATAATATGGAAATATTACTCAGCTTAAATTATAAGACTTAGAGCAAATTTATAATATGCTCATTTCCATATTCCTCTTTCCTTACAGAGGAACAAAATATATACATATACATAATATATAAAATAAATACTATGAAGTATTCTTTGCTCACTGAACATTCCAGACATACTTAATACCCTATGTAAAATAGTTTGTGGTATGAAATTTCTTTTTCAATGTAATTTAATCAATAATTCTACAATATATTAGTAGGAACCTACAATAAAAATTACAACATCCTAGCTTAATGTATAGATATAAGTGACTAGCCTTATAATTTGTGTTTTTATCACATTGAATGTAAAGGATTTTTTTTATGTATTAAAAACTTCAATAGTAGAGTTTTAATTTGAATGGTTTAATTTTAGGTCCATTACATCATTTTCCTAAGCCTGATTGGAAAATGGAAAGATTTGTTTTCTGAAAAGCAAGAGATGTTAAACAATAAGACCAAATAAAAAGGAAAATTGTACATTTTAAATCAACTAACATGTCCCAATAAACATTTTGAGAATTAGTATAAATCACCAAGCCACCGGTTTACAAGAAATGCAGTTCCAACTCTATATTTTAAATATTGTAAAAGTAATTGCATAATATTGATATTTATATTTACAGGTGTAATTAATATCAATTATATGTATATCCTGCAAATAAATTATCAGTGCCCAGTGGTATAACACCAAGGGGTCCACAACCTAGAAAGGCCGCAAGAACAAAAGCTATTATTTGTCTTGTGAGAAGATATAGTATTTTAAATTATTATTTAATATTATAAACGCGAAAGTATGTATGAATGGATGTTTGTTACTCTTTCACGCAAAAAGTACTGAATGTATTTTCATTTTTATTAATCAGAATAACACATGGGCAATAATAATAAAAATATTGTGTGAATTTATAAAGAAATAACAAATTATTACATCAATCATATGCATCAGTAATACCTATTAGTAGGATGATCGTCAAAAATATAGAACAAGAGTCTCTCAAAATAACTCTGTCTGTCTGTTACACCTTCACCACTAAACCGTAAAACCCATTATGATGAATTTGGGTATAAAAGTACATAGGACCTTTGAGAAGAAAATAAGCTACTTGAAGTACTAATTTTGTGCAGATCAGACAAAGTTATGGGCATCTGCTAGTTTTTAATAATTTTGTTTTAACTACAATATATTGCTTGACAAATAAAGTATTCTTTCATTATTTCAGATCGCAATATCCTACAATCAGAGTGTGGAGACACTGCAGACTTATTCACATCAAATCAACTTATTACTCATCTCTGATAAATTATTTCATTCATGTAATATTCACTCATATCATGGTGAAGCAAAAGTTATCCAAGGGATTTCTAAAGAACAATTCGAAATAATTCCAGTTCTGGGATGAAATAACACCAATATTAAATAAAAAGTCTATCGAATTTGTAAAGGCTGCAAAACATTGAGATGGCACTGAAATAACTAAATATAAAACAGTGCCACCCTGAACTGGATACACAATATTAAAACTTTTAAAGATATGTGGAAACATATAGATGAACAATTTCAAATTAATAATGTTTTAACTAGAAATTTGAAATCTAGATTTCTTTTGTTGCACCAGAAACAATAGAATCAGAAATGTTAATCTGTCATGCATGAAATTTATTAATGCTTATAAAACTGTTGTTTAATAAGTTAATTCGCTTCATTTAATTAATGCTTATTGTGAAAAGTATAATCGCCAACTTTTGTTGTCAGAGAAATTTTGAAATTTTTATTATCAAAAAAAAATTACACAACTAAATGATTTTGCATGTAAAGTTGATTCCCTGATTACAACTATGACTGAAACATAAGAGCAGAAACACTATTTTGCATGTAGAATTAAAAAATATGTAGCTTTATATGTCTTATAAAATGTAAGAAAAATATTTAAAAAATGTAAAACTTGCATGAATGATAATATAAATAAATCAGAAATTAGTAATGAAAGGAATCATTATCAATTTCAGATTTCTTTACAGTTATATGATAAATTGTATTAAAAATTTATTGTCCAATGCACATGTTGATTTTGTTAAATTACTGAATGAAAATTTATTTTATGTCTTAGAAATTCTCCTGAAATTAGTGATTTAAAAGATAAAACAGTATTCTATATATTTTGATGACAATGATTCGGTTAAAGTACAGGCTTTCCATTATAATATATATTCTAAGTTTTTCACATATTTGTCACTTTTGTGAAATAAAATTGGTATTGGTTTTTACATAACTAATTTATCAATTAATTTAATAGTTGGAGTATGAATGTGAACAAATTTTAATCGGAAAAACTATTGATTTTGATGACAAAAACTACAGGATTCATTTAAATATATTTGTGTGATTTTTTATTATTACTTGTAGTATTGAGTGTTACATAACTAATTTATGAATTAATTTAATACTTAATAGTTGGAGTATGAATACGAACAGAATTTTAATTAGAATAATAATTGATTTTGATGACCAAGATCATTCAGATAAATTACAGGTTTTCCATTACAATAATTCATAGAAAATGAAAGTAGCAGTAATTAATAATAAAAAGATGATGACCAGATCATTTTATTACTTTAAGAGAAATTGTATTTAAGTTTATAAAATATTTGTTATAAATAGCATTTAATTATTTGACGTGTTAGCTTATTTTAAAGAAATAGAGTTTTTCATATGGCTTTTATTTCAACTTGATGGTGATTTCAATAATTTCTCTGTAAGAATACTTTGTTTTTGCTTGCAATCTAGATTGCTTTTACAAGGCCTAGGGGTTTCTGTACTGTTGTCGTTATATAAATGCTGTACTTGCAAATATGCGGTTTGGAGAAGAAGGCGATTACGTTTCTTTTTTAAAGTCTCTACATCATTTAAATGAAAAATGATTAAAATTAGAAATTCATTAAAATCACGATTAATCTTTATTATGAGGGCAGTGGAATAATACTTTGTTTTTGCATGTTAATCGTTATTGATTTTTGAAGGCATCAGGTTTTTTAAACTACTTTGTTTTTGCGTATATTTTTGTCACTTTGTTATAAAATGGTCGGGTACATCATAATGTGGCCAATTCTATGATTGATTTACGATGTAAACATCTCTGAAAATTGTAACATTATCAATAAATAAACAGCTGTTTTGTTTGATGAAAATAATGTACCTATAATACTTGAATACTGTAATTAATGTAATATAAAATTATGTTCGTGTTTGTATGGGTCGCTAGTTATGTAATAATTTTTTTTAACTTCAGATTGTGGTGTTTTAGACATTATCCCTTTGAAACAATCCATCTAGTATATAATTTATAGCTATATGTATAGGTAGGTAGCTCACAAAGGCGCTGGCACCATCTAGCGGACAGGGCGGGTAAACAGTAATAGTTGTTTTGTCGAGTGTCTCATCTATTTCAGTATAAATGTTTTATCTATGCTGGCACTATTGACACTTGACAGATCCGAACCCCGGTAGGAAACAAAACATTGCTATTATTAATATCAGCTGGTTTGCATTGCAGTAAATTTGCTAATATGTTTTTTTTTTTATTGAACCGGTTTAAGTCTTAGTTGTAGTTTAGTTTAAAATATATTGGTATACATATTTCTAGTTTAAAAAAAAAGTGAATCCCATTTACAACTTCATTTGTTATATAATATACTATGTCGGGAAAGAAAGTTATAATTGGTAAGCTAATATAATTGTATATGTTTAAGTATTTTAATAAATTTCCCTAATTTCTATTCGACTGTTTATAATCATAACACTAAATCTCTAGGTGGTGGAACAGGCTTCATAGGACAAAGACTAAACAAATTGCTTACTGCCCATGGTTATAATGTAGTGAATGTTTCTCGTATGCCTGCGGCCAATAACGTATCCTGGTCAACAATAGAAAAATCAGGCTTACCAGCTAAAACCACTGCAGTTGTTAATTGTGCAGGACAACAGTTTATGGATTTTACTAAAAGTTGGACGCCAGGGTAAATATTTTTTGTTTATTATTTTATGTTAGTGAATTATATCATAACATCATTATACTGAAAAGATAAATTTTGCAGATTCAAGCAAAATGTTCTCAATTCACGTGTCTACACAACTAAGGCATTATCACAGGCCATTAACCAGAGCAATGATAAACCTAAAGTATTTGTGTTGGTTACTGGTGTTGGTGCTTATGAACCTTCGGATACAATTAAATATGATGAAAGCAGTCCAACTACAGGAACCGATTTCTTTTCAAAACTTTTAGTAGCATGGGAAAAGGCAGCATGTGTTAATCCACCTGTAAGACTTGTAAGTATTATAAATTTTTTTTTATTACCTTTTTGTTATATCCCATATTAATAAACAAGTGAGTATCTATTCATCAATGTCATTAGACTTTTCTAATTAATTTTTACCTAATTAGGATGCTGTTCCTCATTTTTTTTTTAGTTAAAGCTATTTTTTTTACTTAGTTGCTAACTGCATTTTTTCAGGTAATAATAAGATCTGGAGCTGTTATTGGTAGAGATGGAGGTATGATTAAGAATATGATTGTGCCCTTTTTCTTTGGAATGGGAGGGAGATTAGGGTCTGGAAAGCAATATTTGCCATGGATTCACATTGATGATCTCACACGTCTTATTCAATACTCTATTGAAAATGAAGAAGTGAAAGGGATTCTGAATGGTGTAGCACCACAAGTAGTGACAAATGAACAGTTTACTCAGGTACAAAATAAAATACTATTTTACAAAAAATAATGGACACCGACCCAAAAAGCACATTTTCTAATTACTATTAGTATGTAGTATAATTTTAGGTAGTTTTAACCTCAGGATTGTACCTCAGGTTGTATATTTATAAACAAGAAGTAGTTTTTGTCAGTTTTATCTTAATACTTTGATTAAATATATGGGAAATAGTATTGAATTTCGAAGTATTGGCAGTGTAACTGCTCCCTAAGTAAATTTGAATGGCTTTTCTAAAATAAATTTAAAATTTGTAGAAATTTGTATTGTTAGAAAAAGTACGAAAAGATTGTCGTCTCTGTGGGAATCGAACCCATGTCTTCGGCATTCGCCGCCTGAAGCTCTAGCCACTAAGCTTAACGGCTGATTGCCACACCGACGACAATCTTAACGTCTTTTAACTACATTGTTTTTTACCGTTTGATGCGACGCTTGGCGCATCCATTGTTATATCCTGTCCATCATATATCGTTTTACAACTATTATTTGAAAAAGAGATGTCGCTATTGCTTTATAGAAATTTTTTAAATTTTTTATTCTGTTAATCTCTGCACTTAGGATTAAACATAAAAATTTGTAGGAAAAGTACGAAAAGAGAGAGGCCTTTTGGTCCAAGACCCCAGGGCCGCCAGACGTTACTTATTTTCTGAGTAACAAAATATATCGTACAGAGTAGTGTTAGAGTATTCTCTGAAGGTACATATACATGTAAGTACGGGCCGGCGGCCAATTCACAGGTACCAGGTGCTAAAGGTACATAAAAACATCGCTCACTTTTCTTAAATTCGGAGTGCTGATTTTCATATATGTTTTACAAAATTTTATCAGAAATTTAAAATCCATATTGCCAGACAGTTTTCGTCGGCGGTTATTTCCACCAGACGCTTTAAAGTTTGCGAAAAAATGAAGTAAGTTTACTAACAGTCTGACACCCAGTTTCCGAATGCGCAATCAATTTTAATTTACGATAAACCTTTTTGTCAATCGTTGTTTAACATGATCTGAGTTGCTAGAACGTCTAAAAACAACTATGATTTTGATTTGCAATTAGTCACTGATTAACGGACAATCAACAGAAAATCGAGTTTCTGAAAGCGTTTTTCGGTGGTCAACGAGCTGTCAAAAGTTTTATTAAGTAATCTGTCAATTTGGTCGATCAATCGTTAGTTAAAAATGTATTGTATCAAAAATCTTAGTTTTTATTAAAAATAAACATAATTCCCTTTATAATTTATTGTTATGCAAACATTATACGGTGGTAGGGCCACGCAGCAGCCTCGGCTGTTGCACGAATGGGCAGGCCCGTCCGGGTAAGTACCACGACCTCACAGAAGACCGGCGTAAAGTGGAAGTATGACAAATACTTTCGCGTTTCGTCTGGTGAGTGAGGTAGCCGGAGCCCAATTTTCAAAAGGTTGTCAACGCATCTGTAACCCTCGAGTGTAGCAGAGGTCCATGGGCGGCGGTATTCACTTAACATCAGGTGAACCGTCTGCTCGTTTGACAACTTTTCGCATAAAAAAGAAAAAAAAAATATCATGCGATTAGAAAAAATACAAAATGCAATTCAAAAGTTAATAAATAATATGGATTCTTTCTTTTATAATACTTACTTGTTTATTGTGGATAAAAGTTCATTTTTTTCACGTTCTGTAAAGTTTTTTCTTGACATTTTGCATGTATTTATATAAATTAAATTTTATTATAGCTCGGATTTTTACGTTGGCAATCACACGGTGACAGGACTGACGAACCGCGGCCGTCTGTTTTGGGGCCGCCCGATTACCGACCGAGCTATTATAACATTATTTTTTGCGGCGAAATTTACTGTCATATTCAAATGATATTTTTCATTCCCTGAAAACAGGGATAAAAGGTCATTTTCTAAAAATGAAACCTAGCTAGATCGATTTTTCGCCCCCGAATCCCGCATCTACGCACATACTAAGTTTCATGAAAATCGCTGGAGCCGTTTCCGAAACGGCTTCAGGAGACGGTTCGTATCACGATCATTTACATACTTATTTTTTTTCTATACCAGATCATTTTCTTTATTTTTTATTTTTTTATTTCCAAAATGATTTACCAAAAAAACCGAGCAAAGCCTCGGTCCCCCAGGTACTAGGATTAATTGGAAAAAAGTGTTATAAAGGGGGATGAAACTTTGTATGAAAGTATTGTCATTTTCAGACCTAGAAGCATAAAACTTATATTTTAGGCTGTTGATAAGCAACATAAAAATGACGTAAAGCATCACTATCTTTCCCTCTGTAATCCATAGGTAACATTGACAATATTAATCTATTATACTTTCATATATTTATTTATGTTATTTGTATATATTATATATTTATTTATGTTTATGTATGTTTATTATAATTTATTTTATTATTATTAAGTAAGTTTATTAAGCACACCACCTCCCACTATTCATAAATTTATTTTCCTTTTCCAAAGGTTGTCTGGAAGAGATCGCTCTTTAGTGATAAGACCGCCTTATTGTACCTAGCTTTTAAGATTTATTTTATATGAACTGTATAAAACTTTTTGTGGTGTACAATAAAGTATATATAATAATAATAATAATAAAGAACCACATTGAAGATTAGTGCGATAAATTTGTGCTATATAATAGCTACAGTTGAATTGGATGAAACTACAGTTAACTATATCTGTAAAATGATAATGATTGTAAGTTTATATAAAATTAAAAAAATAGTTGTAGAAATTGTTTCTAAAATATCATATATAAAAAGCAAGACTCAGACTGTTAGTAAACTTACGTCATTTTTTCGCAAACTTTAAAGCGTCTGGTGGAAATAACCGCCGACGAAAACTGTCTGGCAATATGGATTTTAAATTTCTGATAAAATTTTGTAAAACATATATGAAAATCAGCACTCCGAATTTAAGAAAAGTGAGCGATGTTTTTATGTACCTTTAGCACCTGGTACCTGTGAATTGGCCGCCGGCCCGTACTTACATGTATATTTACCTTCAGAGAATACTCTAACACTACTCTGTACGATATATTTTGTTACTCAGAAAATAAGTAACGTCTGGCAGCCCTGGGGTCTTGGACCAAAAGGCCTCTCTCTTTTCGTACTTTTCCTACAAATTTTTATGTTTAATCCTAAGTGCAGAGATTAAAAAAAAAATTTCAAAATTTCTATAAAGCAATAGCGACATCTCTTTTCTAAATAATCGTTGATAAACGATATTGGAAAATGTTTGTATGATGGACAGGATATAACAAAGGATTCGCCAAGCATTGCTTCAAATGGTAAAAAAACAATGTAGATAAAAGACGTTAAGATTTTGGTCAGTGTGGTAATCAACCTTTTAGCTTAGTGGCTAGAGCGTCAGGCCGCGAATGCCGAAGACGTGGGTTCGATTCCGACAGCGGCGATAAACTTTTCGTACTTTTCCTACAATTTTTAATGTTTAATCTTAAGTGCAGAGATTAGAAGAATAAAAAATTTAAAAAAATTCTAAAAAAAATAGCGACGTCTCTCGTTCAAAATATCGTTGTAAAACGATATTCGAAATTGTTTATATGCTGGACAGGATATAACAATGGATGCGCCAAGCGTCGCTTCAAACGGTAAAAAACAATGTAGGTAAAAGACGTTAAGATTGTCGTCGGTGTGGCAATCAGCCGTTTAGCTTAGTGGCTAGAGCTTAGTAGGCGGCGAATGCCGAAGAAATGGGTTCGATTCCCACAGAGGCGACAATCTTTTCGTACTTTTTCTACAAATTTTAAATTTATTTTAGAAAAGCCATTCAAATTTACTTAGAGAGCAGTTACACTGCCAATACTTCGAAATTCAATACTATTTTCGTATATTTCGTATATATATATATATAATCGGAATCTTTGGAGCCGTTTCCGAAACGGCTTCAGGAAACGGTTCGTATCACGATCATTTACATTTATCGTTTAATTATTATTTCGTTTATTTCGTTTAATTCGGTTCGAAGTATCGATAGTATGGATTTGCTAAAGTAATACCGTGCACATTAGGCGTTGAGGATTATTTTTGCTTTCAGCAATTTACTTTATTTTAACGTCATTTAAATTTTCTTTTACAGTCGTTCGCTAAAGCTATGAGCAGACCTGCGTTTTTGCCAGTCCCAGAACCAGTATTGAACTTCTTGCTTAACCCTGAACGGGCTATGATTGTAACCAAAGGACAGTATGTGGTACCTAAACGGGTGCTCGAGTATGGATTTAAGTATCAGTACGACAATATTGATGATGCTTGCAAAGAATGCGCGTATTTATTTGGCAAACAATGAAAATGTTACTTTTTATTTATTTCATAAAGTATCTGAAATGTATCTTTTCATTCGTTTTATAATTACTAACCCAGTTGGATTTTGCAAATTGCTAATGGATTATGGTTGTTCACATTATTAGTTCCTGGCAATCAAATAAATTGTTTACTTTATCGTTTACAGGATTCAAACAATTTGTCATTAATTTTTTTTGTTAGTTTTGATACTGATGCGCAATAGTTTACAAATTTTTACTGACCTGACTTATGCTTGTATTACCATTGCTACTTCGCGACTTTAGGTGGAGAAGAGGGCGAGTACTATCACGTTTATCTTGAAAAATGCTTTATTGATTATTTTTTTACATATATTTCAAATTTTACTACAGAATAAAATATTATGGTATACTTCATGTTTCTTATTTCTTTTTACTTAAGCACTTAAGCAGTGTACCTTTGGGCAAAACCTAATTTTAAAACTATTAACATGTTCTTCTTTCAACTCTCTTATGTTTAGTTTTCAGAAAATTATCTGAAATTGTGTGATGGGTAGAATACTGCTTGAAGGTAAGTGTAGAAAAATTGATCGAACTCCACGATAATCTTCCACTTTAGGTTTGAATTAATCATTGTTTTCACAATTATGTATTTGTCTACAACAACTTACTTTAGTATTCGACATTTGGTCGAATAGTACCTACATGTTCGGTATTAGGCCGAGTAGGGTATGTTATGTAGCCGAATAAACCTAATAATGAATAGAAACCGAATATTCATTGCAAGTCTAATATAAAAGTTTCAACTTCCCGTCGCTATACATATATGTTCAGAATAATGCCCATCTTTCGAAACAAAATATTCCAAGGTGCAGTGGGGCCGCGGTGACAATAGTAAAGAGAAAGTAATGAATAGTGAGGTGCATGTTTGTTGCCCAGTGCACATCTGCAACGAAACCATTAATGTTTAGATTCCACGTTTATAGAGGCAAACTATTACTACTAGCAATGCAATGAGCAAATAACTAATATGATGATAAGTGCAAGGCTTGCCGGAACAAAAATTATTTTTCATGCTATTGTGCATTTAAAACTTCAAAATCCTGTGTGGTATTCACTTCGCTCATCATTCTGAAATATTATATAAATGAGAGGCAAAAGTGTGGTATTTCCTTAGACCAATTGTGCAAAAATATTGTTTTCACAACTACATTCCATTATCAGTATAGATATTTATGTCATAAAAAAACTATTATTTTCAAAAACATCTATAGTTATGGATGTCCATGGTTTACCTTCCGCTTTTCCAACTACTTGTTGCAGGTAAAATTAAATGATAATTAAGACGGACATAAGAAAATATCAAGAAAACTATGCTTATAGAAAAATTATTAAAAGTGCAGTTTGTCAATCAAAAAGTTTTCAACAAGATGTGCACATTCTGTGACGGAACCAGCTATGTTTAGATCCTACACATTAAAAAAACAATTGCAGACCAGAAAACCTATTGCAGTCTACTAGGCACATATTTTTTTATCTCAGGATCTTTTGCTTATGCTGTGACCGGACATCCAAGGCAGTTATAATAATAATAATAATTCTTTATTTCAGGCAAAAGCCCGTAGTAATAATCGACAAAAATTCAAATTAATAATTAAAACAAAATTATCAAATGAATAACAACAATTGAATTGACACATTAAAAATAAATAGATTTAGACATTACACAAACAATTTTCAATTTTTACTTATCTACGTATACAGCGTGTCTTTACAATCGCGACAATAAATGATCACACATAGAGAGGATAACTTTTTAAAATTGTATTAAACATTTACATTCTTTAAACATCAATATTTACCTACAGATCCAAAACAATGAATTTTAGAACATCCTTACGTATAAAACTGTAAAGTTCATGTGTAAAGGTCACAAAGCATATGAATGGGTTGAATGAATTTAAAAGAGACAAAACATACTGTTAGAAGGAGAAGCTTGTGATACGACGCTGTGGCGCGAGTTGTATAGGATGTTAGAAATTTTGTCTTTTTTACTTAATTAGTTTGTTTGAAAAATATTTTTTTTTATTATGGATTTTGTTTAACGTTAATATTTTTTTATGATTATTGACAAGTAGCGTTAGACGTGTGTTCATTTATTGTCGCGATGGTAACGACACGCTGTATACTGTTTTCACTACTTATTCTAACAGCTGACATTACAATAAAAAATAATCTAACCAAAATTTAAAAATATAACTTAAATAGAAAAGCAATCGATTCGAAATTATAGTAATTATAATAATGGAATAAACGAAATATACAAAAAGAAACCAAACATAATAATTTTATCGCTAAAAAAAAACTATCTTCTTAAACCAATAGACCGCTCAATCCAGAATTTTTGAATAGGGCCATCCATCCGATCGGAAATCATCTTCAGGATACTATTGGTACTGCCATGGAGTCTGAGCAGTACAAAAGAGGTTTTTTTGCGCATTATGGCATAGAAATCGTCGGCATTATGGCATAGAATCCTTTCACGAACCTACCAGAGACACTGCAGAAACGGGGCAGCCCTATCAGCATTCTGAAGGCATTATTATACAGAACACGCAGGGCATTATAGGGGCGCTGCGTATAATTAACCCATAGGCCGCTCGAGTAAAATGATTGGCAATACGTTTTCAAAAGCAAAATTTTTACTTCTTTGGAACATCGAGCGAACCTTTTCCGTGGGAAAAAAAACCCACGTTGCACCTGTCTCTGTCGCATCGGCCGGGGACACGGGAACACGTGGACGCAATCTTCCGCGACCCTGGCGCGACTATGGCCTTTTTAAGCCTCCTCTACTGCATTGTGCTGTGCCGGTGAACATCCAACGAACCTGCGAGCCAATAAGTTGCTCCTCACCGCCAGCGCCCTGCGTTCACGTTTAATATCCTTATCATCTTTAAGGTCCTCCGTTATGATGTGCCCAAGGTATTTAAAGCGTCTACTAGTCTTAGGGCAGATCCGTTGAGAAAAACTGGAGGTGGATTGGGAGTTCTCTATTTTCCAGCTTTAAATATTAACATTTCACTCTTTGTACAGTTGTATTTTAAACCATGTTTTTCCGCATATTTTTCTCGAGGAACTCGTGGATGATGTTAAAGAATTATATTCGGCGAAAGAATATTTTCCTATTTACAATTTGTTATTTTTATGTCTGATTACAGTTGCCTCACTGTAAACAACGGTTGTCATGGTTGTCCCAAAAGTCGGGAAATAGATTCACTAAAGTAGGTGTAAGAAGTCTCATTACTTGCTCTGCATAAAGACTTGTTGTGTACAGAGTATATTACTTAATATTTAAATATTGTTTTTTTTTTTCTTCTTACGTTTAGGAATCTAAAAACAGCACAATTTGGAAGTCAAAAATTTTCATAATATTCACTTAACCCTTCTTTTTTTTTTTTTTCTTACTGGCAAGCACTCAAAATTTGAATCCAAAGTCCGTTTTTGCAACGACCTTTTGACCAATTGACCACTCACTTACGTTCTAACGCTGAACAAGATTACGTACGCAATCGGCTAACGTTAATACGTTTTGTCCAACCCCATATCTTTTTTCCCTTGCTCCAAACTCAATACTAAGACAGTTCCTCTACCGAACCTGTGGATAAAAAGGAAGTCGTGGACGTATCAGGCCAGAAGATTATCCACACCGGGCCCGGATCGACTACGGCAACTGAGGACAGTCCAGGTCAATGCTTGCCAGCCTTTATATTTCTTAACATAAAATTTGATCCTTGCGAGCCGCATCCTTACTTCCAGATCGTGCTGTCTTAGTATTTATTATTCCATTTATCACATTTTTTAATTTCGTACCTACGTACTTTTCACCTACGTGTCGGATAGGCCATCTTTGTTACACAAAATGCCGAACCCATCAGTAGATGAACAACTCATGTGTGATGTTTCATGCGAGCAAGATATGTTCGAACGTGATATTATATTAGATGATTTAAAAAGAACTTTACAGTTCGCAACGACAGATGAGCAAAAATTCCGTTCGCGAACAAAAGACCTTACAGTACATCAAAGAAAGTTTAGTAAATTGCAAACAAAAATCGAAAAATGTCTAATGAAAACAAAACTGTTCAACAAAGAAGAACAAATAAAAATTCGTAAAGATTTTGATGACGCGTACTATGCTATCGTAACTCATTTAAGCAAACTAAAGCAGGATGATGAGCAAGGCAGACGAATGAGTAGGTCATTTAATTGTGAATCGCTCTCACAATCCCATAATGCAAAGTTACCAAAAATTCCTTTACCCACTTTTTCGGGCAACAGTACTGACTGGAATTCATTTTATGATTTGTATATTTCACTTGTACATAACAATAATGCCTACACGGATGCGGAAAAGTTTAGATATTTATTGCTTATGTTAAAAAATGAACCATATAATTTTATTAAATCTATTCCCACTACCGACGCAAATTATCCTATAGCCTTACAAATATTAGTTTCTCGTTATGAAAACATAAGAGTTATAGCTTCCACTCATCTTGACAAAATCCTCGATGTCGAATCATTTTCCGAGAAATCAACAGTTAGTTTACGCAACTTATTAAACACCTATCAAGAAAACATAAAAGCACTTGAAGCTATGAAGTTTCCCACTAAAGAATGGAGTTTTATTTTGTTAATGATTTTACTACGCAAAATCCCGTCATCTATTCGCAAACGTTTCGAATTGTCATTAAAATCACCATCGGAAATTCCCGATATCGACACATTTATTTCCTTTTTAGAACGCGAACTGTCCGCAAGCAAAATATCCAATCCGAATTTCGGTCATATTATATCGAAACAGGAGGGTCAAACCAAGCGCAGCAATACGTAACAGCGGCAGCAACACAACAACAGCATCGGGCTCGCGGCGCGCATTTGTGACCAATATTACTCCACAGGTTGTATCAGAGTCTGCATACAATCAGAATCAAACTAAAACGGTTAAATATTTTCAATGCAT